TTTTTTTTTTTTTTTTTTTTTTTTTTTTTTTTTTTTTTTTTCAGTTAATTTCCCCCAAAATGTTTTTGTTTTTTAGCCTCAAATACTCCTATTCCACTTGGTAACATTTTTTCATGTTAAGTTTATCACACTTGTCCTCTTTAAACATTTAAAACAATTAGGACATTCTGTCATTCATTACTAAAGTTTCCAGTTGACATAGAAGTCAATTTACAGGGGCGCCTGGGTGGCTCAGTGGGTTAAAGCCTCTGTCTTCAGCTCAGGTCATGATCCCAGGGTCCTGGGATCCAGCCCTGCATTGGTCTCTCTGCTCCACCAGAGCCTGCTTCCCCCTCTCTCTCTGCCTCCCTGTCTGCCTACTTATGATCTCTCTGTGTCAAATAAATAAATAAAACCTTTTTTTAAAAAAGAGTCAATTTACACACCTTTACCTTACAAATAGTGAATAAGAAGAGGTACATTCTGTATAATCTGCAATGAATGTAATGAGAAAAAGTACATTTACAGCAATGAAGTAGCCCTCTACCATCATTTTAATCCCATCACATAGGAGGCAAAAAAAAAAAAAAAAATTCCAATACTTAAGTATTTGCTAAAGATGATCCATGGCCCTTGAGAATATGTCTGTGTGGACACATACCTCCTATATCTACAAAGATAGGTATGTCCATATGTGTATCATCAGTATGACTGGAAAGATCACAAACATACAACCATAAAATATGATAAAAGCACTAAGTGAGGGACGCCTGGGTGGCTCGGTTGAGCAGCTGCCTTCGGCTCAGGTCATGATCCCAGCGTCCTGGGATCGAGTCCCACATCGGGCTCCTTGTTCTGTGGGGAGCCTGCTTCTCCCTCTGCCTCTGCCTGCCACTCTGTCTGCCTGTGCTCTCTCTCTCTCTCTCTGACAAATAAATAAAAATCTTTAAAAAAATAAATAAATAAAAGCACTAAGTGAAAAACACTAAATGAATAAAAGATAAACTACTGATTTTAGAGAAGGGCTAAATCCATGGATATGGAAGGGACAGATTAGGACTTCAACATGGAAGTGACATTTGGTCTGAACCCTAAAGGACAGCTATAATTGTGAATTAAATTTTCTAAAGAACCACACTTAAAAGTAGTTCAGTAAAAAAAATGGGAAACAATAGTGGAAGGGAAATAGAGGAATCTACATAGGGAGATTATATGCCTTTAAATTTTAACTCTATTCTGGAATTAGCAATAAACGATTAATGGAATTTTAAACTAAGTGATCCTAAGTGTCCTAAAGTCAAAAAGGTAGCTATGCAGGCAATACTGGAGAGGGAAGAGCCTGAAGGTAGTTAGGTCATAATCACAATGGTTTAGGAGAAAATGATAAATCGGAGTTATTTTTGTTAATACTCCTGGCATATAAAGGACAGGAAAGAATGCCAAAACTCCCAGCCTATTCCAGGTATGACTTAACAGTATGATTTTTATAAATCCATACTGTCCAGAGACATTTTGATCTTTTGATTCTCAGTAATTAAGGGCCTCCCACCCTTACTGGTGAACTTGAACTATCTTATCAATTAACCTCTAAAGCAGTACATATATAATAATACACTTGCTTCTTTAAGGTACCCCAACGGTAAATGTGACTTCTATATTCCCCAGCAGTGCTTCTCAATCTTATTACTGAACTTAAGAATTATCAGGGAAGCATATTTAAATATAGATTCTTTTTTTTTTTTTTAAGATTTTATTTATTTACTTGACAGAGACAGAGATCACAAGTAGTCAGAGACGCAGGCAGAGAGAGAGGAGGAAGCAGGCTCCCCGCTGAGCAGAGAGCCCGATGTGGGGCTCGATCCCAGGACCCTGAGATCATGACCTGAGCCGAAGGCAGAGGCTTAACCCACTGAGCCACCCAGGTGCCCCTAAATATAGATTCTTAATCCCCATTTTAGACTTACAGAATCTACAGCTTTTAGGATGTATCCCAGATTATCCCTTGAGTCCACCCTAGACATGTCACTTAAGCTCCCTAGCTTCAGTATCATTGTCCGTAAAATAGGTAGAATAACCACTGCCTTAAAGTTATGACAATTAAATGAAACAGTATGTATTAAATGTCTAGAAATGGCCCTGGCACATTGTGGATGTTAAAAGCCCTACCTCCTCCCTAATACATTAATTTTGGATTTACAGGTTAGTGGGCTTTCTTAAGGCAGACTGGAGGATAGTTTCCCAGTAGATCTATAGTTGTTGATTTGTTGTATTAATAACAGGAATATAGCACCTTAGAAGAAACTGCTCTTCTTTCTTTTCGCCTGCAATTAAGGGAGTTGTATGTGCTTTTCTGCTCTTTTCTCTCAAAAAGACTGACCTTCAAACTGATCAAACAACTTAGCAAAAGCCCAAAATGAGTGAAAAAAGATGAACAATTGAGCCCATCCACCTCCAATACTCTCCCCTTCAACTTTTGCCTCCTCCTGACCAGTTTCTTGACAAATGGACAAGGTTTTGATGGTTAAGAATTGGGGTACCGTTAAGTGCTATCACCTTTCCAGTGCACGCTCATTGCTCCTGGTTCACAAAGGCATGTATACACTTGCATGGTAGAGATGAGCCATTTTCTCAGCCAGGGGTCACGACAGAGTGAGGCAAGTTACTGTATGAGAGGTCTCACCTCTGTCTCCCATTCAGTCCACAAGGTCAACAGGAGGCCAACTCCTGTGGCCATATCCTTTTATCCTGGCCTTTCAGTTACTTGTAGAAGGTCTTGTGGTATATTAAGGAAGGAAAACAGGGTCAAAGTCTTAGCTTCACCAATGACTTAACTGTGACACTGAGCAGGCACCCCGAATTCAGTTTTCTTAAGTTACTTTGAAGCTATGCATAGTCCGTGGTATACTGATGGTTTTTGAGAAGTAAAGTAAAACAATAAAAATTATCTGCTTTCCCTAAAAACCATGCCCCCCCAAATAAACCAACAACAGTAAACAGAGACTAACAAATTTTTAATTTACATTTTTTCCTGTTAAATTATAAAACTAGGGTTAAATTAAATTCTCAAAGTCTAAATTAGACTAAATATAAATCTGCTGTACAACCCATTGAATGGATTTATATTTTGACAGTGTTCCTTAAAAGTGTCTAGTCATTTTCCATCTTTTTCCTTTTTTCTAAATTCATTCTGCCCCAGTCTTCACTTACCATCACATACACTTTATTCCATCAAACATTTTCCAGGACCAACCTACTACTTAAACAATCATTATGCCTGTTTAGAGCTTTCCCAAACTTAAACTTTTCTCACCTTGACTACATATCCCAAGGTACTATTTTCTCACTTTTTTTGGTTAGTACTATAATGTTCCATAAAGAAACAATAAATGTTATGTATTTCCCTAAAATGAAAGATCAGTATTCAATGGTTATTATGTTAACCAGTTAATAAAAGTGTGTCAAAAACCACTCATGTTTGCTAATCAACTGAAATTATAACAAATTAAACTAATACTTTACTATTAATGCTTACAAATTATTCAAGGAATCAAAATGGCTTCACAAAACTTGGTATCTGCTTCCCAAATACTTCCCATTTTAACCCCAGACCCATTCAAGGAGACAATCCAAACATAACTTTTCTTTACCTAAAAACTATTGTTTGCTAAATAAAAGACATTATTTAGGATTTTTTAGACCTTGAAAAAGAGTTATACTTCCAACGTGTATTTAAATTATAAATCCGTTTTTAGCCTGTGACACTGCTTTAAATTTAGGTACATCATAGTTAAATTGACTGGGCTTCTGCTTCATCTCTTCTAAAGTCTGACGGAAATTCGTTTGCCTCAAGGCTCTTATTCAAGATTTCTTCTTCTGCAAAGGTGATTTTAAAAAAGAGAAAAGGATAATCAAACATTACAAAGAAAAAAATTAAATAGGACAGATTCCAAATAGCAAATTTCAGTCTTCGTAAGTAAAATGTTCACGTGCAAATAATTATGATGAAACTTACCATTATTCTCACTGAGGTACCTTTTCTCCAGAGAGTATCAAAACATCCCCCTTAGAATACTTCTCAATATAGCAGTGTCTAATTATTAACGAGCATACCAGAGTGACATATAACGAATCTATATCACCAGATCTATATTTACTCTAACATGCTTTATGAACAGAATTTTTTTTAAATCTCTATGATGAAAATTTTCAACATACAAAAATGAAGAGAATTATCATTAGCCCAATGTATCCATTAACCAGCTTCAATAATTAATACTGCTATGTGAACTATGTACCCCAAAAAGACATGTTGAACTTCTAACCCCAGTACCTCAGAATGTGGCCTTATTTGGAAAGAGGGCCATTAACAATATAATCCTTAGGATGAGTTCATTCTGGAGTAGGGTGGGCGCTTAAACCTCTCTATGACTAGTGGCCTTATAAAGAAGGCACAAAGACACACAAGAGAAGAAAGCCATGTGAAGATAGAGGCAGAGATTAGAGCCTTGCTACCACAAGCCAAGGAACACCCTGGGGCTACCAGAAGCTGGGAAAGCCAAGAAGGATCTTCCTCTGGTGGCTTCAGAAGACCACGGCCCTGCCAACACCTTGATTCTGGATTCCAGCCTTTGAACTTATTGTCTCCAGAGACAATTTCTGTTGTTTTAAGCTACCCAGTTTGTGGTACTTTGTATGGCAGCGCAAGGAAACACACACTTACTAACCTTTTGTATTTTATCACCCACCCCCTCAAATTTATTTCAAAACAAATTACAGATATTATATTACTACAAGAATGATATTTGAGGGGTACCTGGGTGGCTCAGTGGGTTAAAGCCTCTGCCTTTGGCCCAGGTCATGATCCCAGCTTCCTGGGATCGAGCCCTGTATCAGGCTCTCTGCTCAGGGGGGAGCCTGCTTCCCCCTCTCTCTCTGCCTGCCTCTCTGCCTACTTGTGATCTCTGTCTGTCAAATGAATAAATAAAATCTTTTTTAAAAATGGTATTTGAGGGCGCCTGGGTGGCTCAGTGGGTTGAGCCGCTGCCTTCGGCTCAGGTCATGATCTCAGGGTCCTGGGATCGAGTCCCGCATCGGGCTCTCTGCTCAGCAGGGAGCCTGCTTCCCTCTCTCTCTCTGCCTGCCTCTCTGTCTACTTGTGATCTCTCTCTGTCAAATAAATAAATAAAATCTTTAAAAAAATAAAAATTAAAAAATAAAAAATAAAAAATGGTATTTGACATACATAATGTTACTCAACATTTTGAGAACCATCCTCCACTAGCCAAGATTTCGACAAGATTTACTTTTGATTGTATTATAAAAGCAATAGGTTTCAGGATTTTGGTTTTATTTTCCACCCTGTCCCAGACTAACTGTAAACTAACACCTGTCACTTGAGATTCGAAAGTACCCATAGACGTGAGATGTTCACTCTTCTCATGCTTGTCAAAGGAACAAAGAGAATGTTTTATCACATTAACAATGAAGACCATGCAGCATTCAATGCATACGACATTACAAGAGGTTGAGAGAAAAATTCAATAGATCAATATGCGCAGGTCTAGTTAAATCTTACCTTTTAAATTAGGTAGAAGTTCTCCAAGACTACATGGTATTGCAGTTTTCAATCTTTGTTCAACTGGAGAAAACTTAATTAGTGGTGAAAGAGACTGTTTTCTTTCACCCAGGGACATGCGTAAAGATGGTTTTGTATAGTCAACGTGCAAATCTTGAGTGCCCAAAAAGTCAAGCATATCATCTGTTTGCATGTTTGTGGCCACAGGGCTCAATTCTGGTTTGTGTCCTTCAAGTGTTTCAAGATTAGAAAGGTCACTTTCTTCCCTTTTCTTGGATAGAGATTTTTTCAGAGCCTCATATCTACGGCAAATAGCCTGTAAATTACAGTCTGATTCTGGAGTAGTTGGTCTTCCTCCCACAACACTATCTGGAAAAATGCCACTGTGCATAGGACTATTTGGCTCTAGTTTAAAATTGGCCTCTGTACTACTGGAACTATTAAGACTTAAGTTACCAACTTCTTCTGGAAGCGTTTCATGTAATATGCCAACATCAATATCCTTTAAGCTCCTAGAACTAGTTCCACTTGATAACTGAAAAGAGTCCCATAACATACTTTTATGCATGAAAGGTTCCTTGTAAGAAGCTTGCAAGTGGTCAATAGAAGACTCCTCCTCATTGCTACCCATCACAACTCTCCTATTACCTGGAGCAGGGGAGACTGTCTCTGGTTGGCTAGTTTCTAAAGGCTCGTTCTGTAACACTGCATGCTCCAAACCTTCCGTGCACCTTATTTTCTTACTTAACGAATCTGACTGATTTTGTGTCGATGGTCCACCTATGTAACTGGTCACCACATGTTTCTGAGGCACACACTTGAGGCAATCTGAAACAATGTTCTCTTCAGGTAAATGGAAATGGCTACAATGGGATGCAGTGCTTGCTGCAAGAGAGCTGGTCTTGCTAATTTCTCCTGGGTTATGCGACACAGGTAAGGATTCTGGCAATTCTTCTCTCTGTTCAGTATCCATCTGAATTGGTTCTGTACTTTCGTTATCTTCCATTTTGACAGCTTTTCTCCATGAGCTCCTGATTTCACTTACTAATTAAGGGGGGGGACACAACTCATTAATATTTCCAAACAGAGCATACAATTAAAATTTTCATTTCTAGTGCTCAACATAAAACTAGCGAGTCAGTATATGTTCCACAGATGTGCCCAATGGATGACAAGACTAAACAATAAACCAAAGACCAACAACATCAAAGAACTCCTTCTCCATCTGATCACAAATAACAAAAGCTTTCCCTGAAATGTGCATATACTTTCACACAGCACATACGAATTACAGGTATTAGAAAGATGTTTTCTCATCCATCTAAGCAGGGTTCAGCAAATTTTCTATAAAGGGCAGATAGTAATATTTTAAGCTTTGTAGGCCATTGGTCTGTGGTGATAACTGAACTGCGCCACTATAACGTGAAAGCAACCACAAACGATTATGTTGACAAATCAGCAAGGCTGTGTTCAATACAACTTTATTTACAAAAACACACAGGGCAAGCCAGATTTGGTTCAGAGCCTGGAGTCTGCTGACCACTGATCCAGGCTGTGGCAAGGTTCAACCTGAACTGAATCAATTTAACTTCAAATATGAATTCAGCCAGGATGATGTGCCATAAGGACAACGAAATCAGAATTTGGCCAACACAGATTATAGGTTATAAGAAAAAAGTACTGGGCAGTCTAGCTAGCTAGAGAGGGGTAGAAAAGATTTCTATATGCACAATTTTGGGCTGATGCCGCTAGCTGCTGACTGGAAGGAGAGAGCCTGGGTGCTCTACAAATGTTGAGCACCGGTCAGATGTGGAGGCAGAGGGTATTTTAAAAGTACTCAACTGGGGCGCCTGGGTGGCTCAGTGGGTTAAAGCCTCTGCCTTCGGCTCAGGTCATGACCTCGGCGTTCTGGGATCGAGCCCTGCATCAGGCTCTCTGCTCAGCAGAGAGCCTGCTTCCCCCTCCCTCTCTCTCTCTGTCTGCCTCTCTGTCTACTTGTAATCTGTCTGTCAAATGAATAAATAAAATATTAAAAATAAATAAATAAATAAAAGTACTCAACTGAAATAATTTCTAGGAAAGAGACAAGTAAAACAACAAAAACAAAACTGTGTAGTATCACAGCAAAATAACGCTGCTTACAAACTGCCGTATCAGTGAGAACACCCACATGTAATACTTCCGTAAAAGCCCTTACATCCAAGCAAATAAAGAGCCATTGCCACTAAACTGAAAGAGAAAAGAATTCTAAAGTGAGTTTCCAGAAGATCCGTCAAACCATGGTTCTAACAGTACTAATGTCTAAGTAATGTCTAAGAAGAAAATAAGCGATAGAAATCATTATTCACTTACTCAAATTTTCTGGCGTTCGGGGAATTTGGTTCCTTGTTAAGAATGGGTTAGACACTAAAGAATCAAATAGTTCCTCTAATTTTACTTCTCTTCCTTTAGAGGGCTGTGGTGAATCAGATAAAACGGCCCTTGCAACCTAAAACAGAAAAGGTAAAGCAAAAATTACCACATTCATTGGTAGAATGCAACAAAAGCCCTGATGAGAACAAATCAGCCCGATAGTCAGCAGCCCCTACCACAGCAGAGCACACAAAAAGTCACTCAGAACATAGCTGCCAGCCACTCTATATCATCTATCAAGGCACAATCCTACAAGGTGAAATTAAACCCAAAACTGTTCCCTCCCTTCTTATCTTAACTGGATATTCCTTCTTATCTTAACTGGATATTCCATATAAAGGGAAGGTAAAAATCTTTATACCTGAGAAGATTCAGAAATAATCCTGACTACACAGTGACCTAAGGTACTATCTGCCACATCTTTGAACTTGACAATTCTGTATCAGGTAAAGTGACTAGTTTTAAAGCAAGCAAAGTCTTAATTATATAAACCACTTGCACAGTAACACCTCTATTAACAAATGAAATACACTCTGACAACATACGTCTTTGCCAGCAACCTCATTATCAGATAATAAGTTAGTGAACAAGGCATAGGAATATATTCTAAACAGAGAAAGTATACAATATGAAAATAGTACTGTATATTAATTTCAATAAAACAGGGAAACAAAAAACATGCACATTAAAAACACTGCCCCAAGAGCCCTAAAAAATAAACATCCTACAATCATAATCAAATAGACCCCCACACACCCCCATGAAAAGAGAAGATTTCTTAGAATTCAAATACTAAATAATTCTTGTCACAAACATTATTAAAGAAAATTAATTTCACTTTATTTTCAGAGCTTTATGAGATTTTATGACTCTCCTTTTCCATCCCATCCCATTCTGCTGCTAATATAAATTCTTTTCATTGAAAATGTCTTTCCTTCCATATCAGGTAAGAAAAACAGACTGATCATCCTTTATGTGGAGTCCATCAACCAACAAAGAGAAATAATATAAACCTGAAAGATTTTAAAGTATTTACAGACCATGAAACGGTTCAACCTCCTAATGTTACAAATAAGAACATGACTAGACATCCAGCTCTCTTATTTGGACATTGTTCACTTTCTTTGATCAAGACTGAGATAAAGGAGGAAACTCCAATACCTGAATCAATATGCACTAAACCAAATTTTTCTTTCAGTCTCTCAGCAATATAAAGTAGCTGATTTATTTTCAGGCTCCTTATCCAAAATCAAACAATGCTATGGGATGTTGTGGGAAACATAATAAAAATAACATCATTTGAGAATCTGTGTAAACTTCTGCAGTAAATAGTACAATATTATTATCAACCAATAGTAGCATTATGTAGACAAATGCAAAGTCACTTGTCAGGAAAACTAAGGTCATGAACTTTGCTGCATTTAATGACTTCTTAAAATATTTAGAAAGCAGAAGGATAAACACTACGCCTAGTGATAATACGATATTGCATATAGTTTTATATTCAAATAAATTAATATTCAAAAAAAAGAGGAAGCTTAAGTAAGCAACAGCAACATGCAGATTATTTTTTTAAAGCAGATTATTTTGATGGAGTATAATCACTGGATGTATTTATCCAACAATTCATGTAATGGTTCATTCCAAAAACACCATACCTGTGTTATTTTTATACTTTCGGAGGATGATATTTATAGAATGGGACATGGTTTCTAAACCATGGATATAATCTTAAATAAGTTTATATTAAATCTATTTCTACTTTTTGGGAGAACCAATTCTGCTTTAACCAAAATTTTCATTATCTATGCCCTCCTTTCCCAAATTAACCCCAGTTATTCGATAATTAACTATAACTTCACTTATAATCTCAACCCCAATGAGAAAATAATAGATATTTCAGAGTACTTATTACAATCTTTTTCTAACCTCTTCTACCAGATGATCTTGCTCTTTTTGGAATATATCCCTATTTTTAGCTGGCAGAGACCCTGCAAATGCAGTATTCTCTGTACTCCTTGCAGTATTTGATGATAGAGAGTCTTTCACTTCAAATTTTGGTGTCTTCTTAGAAGGTGTTTCATTTCCTTCTCTAGGAGTTCTTATCTTCATGTCCTGAAGGAGGCAGACATGTAACATTAAAACTTTAAGGACTCTGGCTGATCTTCATTAGAGGCTCTTGAGTTATCACAAACCTATAAAGGCTATCATTATTGTGAAATCATATGTCCACTGGCAAAATTATATAATTCCAGTATTTCCATTTAGAAGCAACAGGACATATGTAAGTACAAATTAACTGGGACAGCGGCAAAAATAATATTTTAACATAAGTTAGTATCATTAGATTAAACATTATTTAAAAATATACCTTTTCAAGTAATCTAACACTGTTTCTATCTGATGATGAAACTGGCTGTGACAGGAAAGCTGCAGGTCTAAAAGGAAAAAAGATAATAAATCCAAGTTACGTACAAGAAAGAATTCCTTCACTTGCTAGATCTGAATAATCTAAAGAAACTGTCTGCCCCGTATCTGTCCGTTACGATTTCCCTCAATTCGTCCCGGTCATCGAAAGGCAGTTTATTCTAGGGAGGGATGGTGACAATCAGAGCAGCACTTCAGCCCCATTTGTGTATCAGCCTCCCAAACGGTAAACATTTTTCCTTAATCACTATATATTTTAAGTCAACAACATTTTTTATAAGGTTGAATGACTTCATGAACGCTCAAAAACTTGAGTACGCAGTAAACACAAATTCAACTAACAAGAATCACATTATTATATTATCCTTGGGCTTCAGATCACAGAATTTTACTGTAACAGAGACCTTAAAATTTTAATCTTTCATGTCCAAAATCAATTTATCTTGTGCTGAATCTTGCTATAGTGACAGCACATACATTAGTTACACTTACAGTCAAGTTATAATGTTGCTCAGTTTCAGTTTCCTGCATTCTACACATAGCATTCCTACCCTCTTACAATCTCTTGGTCCTTTGGATAAACAAAAAAACCTTACACATCAATTACAAAGTAACTTATTAAATTTTTAAAGCTGTCAAAGCAATAACTTCTTCTTCATCTTCAAAGAGCTTTCAAATTCAATCACAGATGGGGTCTGCTCACTGGTCAAAGCTTTTCTACTTTATTACCACAGAGAACACTTTCAGTATCAAGCATGTTGGTGCTCTGCTTTCTGTTAATAGCCAGAAGTACAAAATTAGTAGCTTTAAAACATCTCAAGTAACAGCAAATATGCTTTTTCAAACTTTTCAAATACGAGCTCCTTGGAATCATTATCTACCTTTCAAACATAATTCAAGACCACTGAAACTGCTTAAGGCTCAACTGTGCCTCGACAGGATATAATCTAGATGTCAAAGGAAAAAACTAATCATTTACTATGACTTTATCTTAATTTTTCCAAAAAGTAACATTAAAGTGATCCAAAAGCCCTCTGAAACACAGCTAGCAATCTAAGATGCCACTAGGATGCCAGCACCAGACTGTGAGCTCCTGGAGGACAAAGACTATGTCCTTCCTGACTATTGCCAGGAACTAACATAGCGCCTGGTACTTGGAAGTGCAATACCTGTTTGTAACTAACCAATGGATTGACTGAATCAATGAATAAAACGTCACTTGAGCATGAGGTTCTAGAAATAGACACCACCAAATTTTTCTATTTGGATCATTCTTACAGAGTCTCATAAAAGACAAAAGTGGAAACATATTCTCTCCCTTCCTCTCCTCCTTTTTTGAATTGGAAACATGCTATCAGCCCTGCTAACATCTCAATCCAAGCCAATTTTAAAGCAGCCCTGGCTCAATCACTTGCTATACGCTTGCTACGCCAAAACTGAGGCCCACAAAATCCTAGCACTGTAACAGATAAAGAGAGAGCGTGTTGCTCCCATTATGGCAATTTATCCTAAGGAAAGAGTACATCCAAAGGAAAGTAATTAAAGACATGCTTTTTATAGTAGTAAAAAAAACTGAGGAAAATCTAAAAGTCTAAAATAAATGTTACAAAGTCATTATAAGTAAAAAATCAGTAAAATAACGTTAACATACAGAAACGACCAAAAAACTGTACTTACAGATATTAATGTTTAGAAAATTCTGAATGTATTAAATTTGTTTGTACATAAATCCCAAAAAAACAACTTGCAAAAAAAGTCCAATAAGTGATTTGTTAGAAATTTTAGCTAATTATTCTTCATTTTATTTCATTGTTACAATATATCTACAATTAACAAAGATATAAGGGAAATTATAAGAGAGAGAGAGGCAATGAGACGTCCATTTCTAAGACGAAGGATATTTAGTTGGCATGCAAGCAAGATCATACTGCCCTATATCTGAAATGCAATAAAGGAGAACTGTAGAGGTTAAAAGTCTAGAACTGTACTGCCACCACTAGAAATATCATGAAACCCTCCCTTTCAGAAATCACTGCAAAGAAAGGTTGAGCCCAGAGTGTACAACAAAGGTACCACCAATCACTGAATTCTGGTTTTAAGTATGGTAAAGCTTCCATCAGCTCACTCAGATCAAAAACAGCCATGAGACTTATGGAGAAAACTACTTCTATTTTGGTATCTGTGGGTGACAACTGTATTAAAGGGCTAATAACAGGGGCGCCTGGGTGGTTCAGTGGGTTAAGCCTCTGCCTTCGGCTCTGGTCAGGATCTCAGGGTCCTGGGATCGAGCCCCACATCGGGAATCTCTGCTCAGCGGGGAGTCTGCTCCCCACCCCCCTCTCTGCCTGCCTCTCTGCCTGCTTGTGATCTCTGTCGAATAAATAAATAAATAAATAAATAAATAAATAAATAAATAAAAATCTTCTAAAAGGGGGGGCTAATAACACACAGTAATTACCCTAAAAATTACACTATTTCCATGTTTTTTAATTGAATAGCTGTTATTGATCATATCCACATATGAATTTCCAAATTAACTATACTGGTACTGACATTAAGATGATGCCATACAAACAACAGCTGAACTATACATTAAAAAAGGATACTATTTTAAGTACAGTCTACTTGCACTACACATTACTAATAAAACATTTTATTACAAAACAGCTTTACTGTAAAGAATTCTGAGCAACAAGCTTTCCACATGACTCAATTCTTCACCTTCCTTCTGTTTTGCTATCAAGTGCAAATAATCGTTCGTATCCCATTGAGCTTTTATTTGTCCCTCACCACCAACACCCTTCCTCTTCACTTCCCCCCTTCAATACCCCAAACCTATAACTAAAGTACCAGAAGATAATTAAAAGATCTAAAGGCCTGGAAGAGTATAAGTCTGGAATCAAAGTATATTTAATATAACCTCTTTTTCCTATAAGAAGAAAATTCCATCTGAACTAAATTCTTAGGGGCTAAGTGTCTGGCTCCTATAGAATTCTGATAGTATATCTTAGTACAAAATTCTACTTCAAGAAAGAATCTTGAAGATGAATGGAGTTCATAAATAAAATCTGATCTATGAATCAATCTACTACCTCCATCAACAAACCTGAACCAAATATTTCATTTGCTCTCTCAAGGAAAGACAAACCAAAAACACAACTGAGACTGGGAAGCATCAACTATTCCCCTCAGGATGCTTTAAGAACAGTGATAAGAGAGTCAAACAGTGAAGCCCAGTAACTTGACTATCTCTTCAATGTCAAGGCTTCACAATAGATTTCTTTCTTTTTTTTTTTTTTTAAGGTACTCTGAAAATCAACATCACATCCAGATCTAAGAATAAAAATACATATTCCACATGTAATCCTGACCTCCATAAATCAGAAAATTACTACACAGAAAACTGCCAATAGCTCAATTTTTTTTTTAAAGATTTTATTTATTTACTGGTCAGAGAGAGAGAGAAAGAGCGAGCGCATATAAGTAGGGGAAGCAACAGGCAGAGGGAGAAACAGGTTCCCCGCTGAGCAAAGAGCCCAAAATGGGACTTGACCCCAGCTCCCTGTGATCATGACCTGAGCCAAAGGCAGATACTTACCCAACTGAGCCACCCAGGCATCCCACCAATAGCTTGATTTCACATCTAAATTTTGACTCTTGTTATGCTGTTTGAACTTAACTAAATAAGAGTATACAGAATGACGAGAACGTCAATTCATTTAAAATTTATAATTTTCATTTAGAATTATCCTAAGCAATTTGTTTCCATATCTGTGCTTCAATTACATGGGGAAGCTGGACTAAAAGACCCCTATTTAGGTCAAAGGGTAGTCAGAATAAAAAATAATAAAACACCTATACAGTATGTCTGGGATTTTGTTGTTGGTGGTGGTGGTGTTGTTGTTTTAAGATTTTATTTATTTATTTGACAGACAAAGATCACAAGAAGGCAGAGAGGCAGGCAGAGCGGGGGCGGGGGGTAGGGGGAGCAGGGAGCCCGATGCAGGGCTTGATCCCAGGACCCTGAGATCATGACCTGAGTCGAAGGCAGAGGCTTTAACCCACTGAGCCACCCAGATGCCCCTACAGGATGTCTGTTTTTGATTGCTTCTTAATAATTCTTAGTTTCAAAAAAGAATACATATATTCCCCAGGTGGATTATATACATTTCGAGATTTTGGCTTATATAATCTGGCATCTGTTTAAAGAGCCAAAATAGGAAAATTAATAAAGAAAACAGGCAATAAAGAAAATAATACTCCTGAAGGATATTATAATAAACCAAGGTTTAGTTTTTTCATCTGTTAAACTTCTGAATTGGGTTGAATCAGAAGTCCTCCCATTCTTTTTTTCTTTAAAGCATGGAATTCAAAAAAAAAAAAAATAAAAAAAAATAAAGCATGGAATTCTTTTTATTAAATGGCATGTAAAACCCCCAACATATAATACAGATAAAAGAACTAGCTGCTCAGGCTGAAATGGGAAAGGGTCAGACCAGTGATGGGCTAAATTAGATTAATCCACAGCATGAGAGGGCGCTGCAGAACAGTCTGAAAACTAGGAGACTAGTTGATCTCAAAAGCTCTTAACTCTTGGATTGTCAAAGCCACAAGTGGTTTCAAGGAAGTTCACAGACACAAAAAGGCAAAAATTCCCAAGCTTGCATTAGATAATTTCCATACGTGCTTTTTTCCCCTTCAAATATTAGATAATCCCCTATGAATCCCAACATTTAGACAAACAAGAGAAGGGGGACAAATGCCTATGTATCAAAAATGTTCAATCTTTCCTGAAAATGTGGATCCACGGTGGAAAAATATTCTCTGGTTATGAGAAGACAATTACAGATGACCCCATAGTAGAGAAGCATGGCAATTAGATGAAGATGAAACTAAATTAATGAAAAAGGCAAACAGTCAATATGAAGATCACATTTGTTTTACCTGTTGCCTAGATCATGTACAGTTCCCGATGTATTACTGGCTCTCATGCAATCATTTTCTTGGTCGTGTTGCTTAGGTGTATCTAAAGGAAAATAAACATTAATTACTCTTTAATTATGGTTATATATTCTAATATCCAGGTATCTCTTGAAATTCTAGAAAAACTTCTGAACAGAAGAAAAAGAGAAAAATAAGACTAATATAAATGCTAACAGAAAAAGACTATTCAGCAGCTCTTTCTACCCATCAGTCCTGTCCCCATGCTTTAATAAAATAAATAAAATTTTAAAAAAATAAATAAAAATAAAGACTACTCAATGGGACACCTGAGTGGCTCAGTCAGTTAAGTGTCTGCTCAGGTCATGATCCCAGGGTCCTGGGATCAAGTCCCACATCAGGCTCCTTGCTCAGCGCGGAACCCGCCTCTCCCTCTTCCTGCCACGCCCCCTGTTTGTGTGCGCTCTCTCTCTCTCTCTCTCTGACAAAGAAATAAATAGTATCTTTAAAATAGAAAAAAAAGGAAAAGACAATTATTCAACTGTTAAGTATACAAATAGGACAGATAGAGAGTATCTAGAATAAACTCATAAAAAGAGTGGCAGGTTAGAGAGCTGAAATAAACAACTCTAAAATTTGTATGGAACCAGAAAAGACCTCTAATAGCCAAAGGAATGTTGAAAGAGAAAACCAAAGCTGGAGGCATCACAATTTCAGACTTTAAGCTGTATTACAAAGCTGTAATCATCAAGACAGTACAATACTGGCACAAAAACAGACACACAGATCAATGGAACAGAGAACCCAGAAAGGGACCAACTAACCTTCAACAAAGCAGGAAAGAATATCCAATGGAAAAAAAGACAGTCTCTTTAACAAAGGGTGTTGAGAAAATTGGACAGCCATATGTACAAGAATGAAATAGGACCATTTTCTTATACTATACACAAGAACAGATTCAAAATAGATGAAAGACCTAAATGTGAGACAGAAATCCATCAAAGTCATAGAGAACACAAACGGCAACCTCTGTGACCTCGGCTGCAGCAACTTCTTGCTAGACACGTCTCCAAAGGCAAGGGAAACAAAGGCAAAAATGAACTACTGGGACTTCATCAAGAAAAAAAGCTTTTTGCATAGCAAAAGAAACAACAAAACCAAAAGGCAACCTATGGAATGGGAGAAGAAATTTGTAAATGTCTTATCAAATAAAGGGCTGATATCCAAAATCTATAAAGAACTTATCAAACTCAACACCCAAAGGACCAATAATCCAATCAAAGAAATGGACATGAATAGACATTTCTCCAAAGAAGACATACAAATGGTCAACAGACACATGAAAAAGTGCTCAACATCACTCGACATCAGGAAAATACAAATCAAAACCACAATGATACCACCTCACACCAGTCAGAATGGCTAAAATTATCAAGTCAGTAAACGACAGATGCTGGGGAGGATGCAGAGAAAGGGGAACCCTCTTACGCTGTTAAAGGGAATGAAATCTGCTGCAGCCACTCTGGAAAATAGTACACAGGTTCCTCAAAAAGCTGAAAATAGAGCTACCCTAAAGCCCCAGCAATTGCACTACTAGGAATTTATCCCAAAGATACAAATGTAGTGATCTGCTCTGCCAACATTTATGGCAACAATGTCCACAACAGCCAAACTATGCAAAGAGCCCAGATGTCCACTGACAGATGAGTGGATAAAGAGGTGGTATATATATACAACAGAATATTAAGCAGCCATCAAAAAACTGAAATCTTGCCATTTGTAAATGACATGGGTATCATGCTATGCAAAATAAGTCAATCGTAGAAAGACAATTATTATATGATCTCACTGATATGTGGAATTTTAGAAACAAAACAAGATCATGAGGAAGAGTGAAAAAAAAAAACCAAGACAAAATCAGAGAGGGAGACAAACCGAAAGAGACTCTTTTTTTTTTTTAAGTTTGTTTTTTTTTTTTTTAAGATTTTATTTATTTATTTATTTGACAGGTAGAGATCACAAGGAGGCAGAGAGGCAGGCAGAGAGAGAGAGAGGAAAGCAGGCTCCCTGCTGAGCAGAGAACCCCATGCGGGACTCGATCCCAGGACCCCGAGATCATGACCTGAGCCGAAGGCAGCGGCTTAACCCACTGAGCCACCCAGGCGCCCCCGAAAGAAACTCTTAATGAAAGGAAATAAGGGGCGCCTTGTTGGCTCAGTTAGTTAAGTGTCTGCCTTTGGGTCAAGTCATAATCCCAGGGTCCTGGGATCTAGCACTACACTGGACTCCCAGCTCAACCAGGAGCCTGCTTCTCCCTCCCCTTCTGCTGCTTCCCACACTTGTGTTCTCTTGCTGTCAAATAAATAAATAAAATCTTTAAAAAAATATATTAAAATAAACAAAGGAAACAAACAGAGTTGTTGGGGGGGATGGGGCTGGAGAGATGGGGTCACTGGGTGATGGACATTAAGGAGGGCACATATTGATATAATGAGCACTGAGTTTTATATGCAACTGATGAGTCACTAAATTCTACCTCTGAAACTAATAATACACTCTATGTTAACTCAACCGAAATAAAAAAATTTTTTCAAATGATAGGTTTATACTAAACCAAATTTCAAAAAAAGTGCCAGTCTGTAGTTCTCCAATATGATATAGTCTTGCTTCTTGTTTTGGTACACTGATCATGCAATTACCACATAAATCAGCAAGGCCAGGGGTGCCTCGGTAGCCAGCTCAGTTGTTAAGCATCTGCCTTTAGCTCAGGTCATGATCCCAGAGTCCTGGGATCAAGCCGTGCTTCAGGCTCCCTACTCGGCAGGGGTCCTGCTTCTCCCTCTCCCACTCCCCATTTTGTGTTCCCTCTCTCACTGTCTCTGTCAAATAATCTTAAAAAAAAAAAAAATCTAAAAAAAAAATCCTAAGGGGCACTTCAGTGGCTCAGTGGGTTAAAGCCTCTGCCTTCAGCTCAGGTGATGGTCCCAGGATCCTGGGATTAAGCCCCGCATCAGGCTCCCTACTAAGGAGGGAGCCTGCTTCCCCCTCTCTCTCTGCCTGTGTCTCTGCCTACTTGTGATCTCTGTCAAGTAAACAAATAAAATCTTTAAAAAAATCTCTAAAAAAACTTAAAATCTTTAAAAAAAAACTTAAAAAAAATTAGCAATGCCAAAAAAATTATACTATTTAGCATATTTCAGCTCAGCATCTACATCAGTCAATTTATTTATTCCTCAACGCATCAATAATCATGTGCCACTGCTATACTAACAAGGACAAAGAAAGAAAAGGTAGAGACCTGGCTTCAAGGAGTCAGTCTAGGAAAAAGACTACTGAGGAGTAGAGAATGATGGCATGCTGCTATAGTATTAGGAGAGAAATATGCACAGAAATTCAAGGAGACAGAAAGGCACCTGGCCTAGGGATGGGGAATGTGATGAGGACATAAAGGTACTGGGAGAAGAGGGTACAAGTTCAGTGTGGTATAGCATAGGGTATATCTGAGTGGAAGCATGGAAGGAAACAAGATTGGTGCAGAAAGCCATGGCTCCATTACAGAGTATTTGCTATTCCAGGAACTCCTCTTCTTTTAACATGTTAGCTTCTGAAAGACTGTCCCTATATATACATGTGTCCAAAGTGTTACTGTATAAGAATCCATGTGCGTGGGGCACGTGGGAGGCTCAGTGGGTTAAGCCTCTGTCTTGGGCTCAGGTCATGATCTCAGGGTCCTGGGATGGAGCTCCACATTGGGCTCACTGCTCAGCGGGGAGCCTGCTTCTCCCTCTCTCCCTGCCTGCCTCTCTGCCTACTTGTGATCTCTGTCTGTCAAATAAATAAAATCTTAAAAAAAAAAAAAAACCCAATGTGTGAACTTCTCCTTTTAATCCACCATAACAGGGGCGCTTGGGTGGTTCAGTGGGTTAAGCCGCTGCCTTCGGCTCAGGTCATGATCCCAGGGTCCTGGGATGGAGTCCCACGTCGGGCTCTCTGCTCGGCGGGGATCCTGCTTCCCTTCCTCTCTCTCTGCTTGCCTCTCTGCCTACTTGTGATCTCTCGCTGTCAAATAAATAAATAAAATCTTTAAAAAAAAATAAAAGATTTTATTTATTTATTTGACAGCGAGAGATCACAAGTAGGCAGAGAGGCAGGCAGAGAGAGAGAGAGAGAGAGAGGGAAGCAGGCTCCCCGCCGAGCAGAGAGCCCGACGTGGGACTCGATCCCAGGACCCTGAGATCATGACCTGAGCCGAAGGCAGCGGCTTAACCCACTGAGCCACCCAGGCGCCCCAAATAAATAAAATCTTAAAAAAAAAAAAAAAGATTTTATTAATCCACCATAACAGTATGTTGTATTATGACCATTTTCAGTATCCTCTGCTTTTGCACCTACTAATGATGATGGGATTACTGATATTCATAAAACATTCTAAAAATGAACACAAATACAAGAATTGTATCACAAAACTAGTAGACAACAATAAACTAATTAGGAACAACATAAACACTACTTGCTGGTGGTAGGCAAAGATAAGGCACATTTCTTCCCCTTGAAGGTGCTAGAAAGCCATCGTAGTACACCAAGAGATGAAAAGGACCATATTTTCATATTTACACTACAGAAGGATCACTGATAACCATCTGCAACACAGAATAGGTAGAATATGGAGGCAGAGTAGCTAGTTAGAACACAATTAAAGGCAAGAAATAGAAAACCAAACTACAGCACTTAAGATGTGAAGAGAACAGAGGGGACGGACACAACAAGGTAATGAGGTTAAAACAAAACTGAACTCACCAGAACAAAGCAAACCAAGCTGCAGTAGACAATGACTCCTACCATAAATACACTAGAACTGCAAAATAAAATGTAAGAAAAAGAAAGGAATACCCAGAAGCGCAAATAAAAATCATCACATGCCTGGACTAAAGATGGAAAGAATTTAAGCTCAAACTGAGACATAAAGGCTAAATGGCAGGCTCCGGGGCTGAACAATGGAGATTTAATGCCTGCATAACAAGAAACATGATCTCGGGCCTCTCAGCCTCCAATCTGAGAAACTGCCGTAAGGCCAGAACATTGCAA